AAAAAAAAAAACGAAAAAAAGAAAAGAAAAATTTTTTTCAAAGAAAATAATAAAACTCTGTACCCATGTCTCTAAATCTCGCTGAGGCCGCAGATGAGCGAAGCTACAGAGAGATGGAGAAGTACACGGTGGAGCGGGTGGCAGGACAGGGAACATTTGGCACCGTACAGCTTGCTGTGGAGAAGTCTACAGGTGAGAATGTAGCAATTAAGAAGGTTATTCAAGATCCACGTTTTAAAAATCGTGAGTTGCAGATTATGCAAGACTTAACTCGCCTTCAACACCCAAATATTGTGATGTTAAAAGGGTATTTTTACACCGTCAGTGAAAGCCGACAGGGTGATGTTTATCTTAATGTTGTTATGGAGTTTGTTCCAGACACATTACACCGAACCTGTCGAAATTATTTTCGTCGCCTATCGAGTCCACCCATGATAATGGTGAAACTCTACATGTATCAATTACTTCGGAGTATTGCATGTTTGCATTTACCCTCAGTTAATGTGTGTCATCGTGATATTAAACCACATAATGTGCTTGTTGATGAATCAACAGGCGATCTTAAACTCTGCGATTTTGGAAGTGCCAAGAAGTTGTCACCAACAGAGGCAAGTGTGGCGTATATTTGCTCACGGTACTACCGTGCCCCCGAACTCATTTTTGGTAATCAGCATTACACCACAGCGGTGGATATGTGGTCTGTTGGTTGTATCTTTGCAGAAATGTTACTTGGTGAACCAATATTTTGTGGTGAAAACACTGCCGGCCAAATCAGGGAGATTGTGAGAATCCTTGGTCGACCATCCCGAGAAGAGTTAGATAAGATAAATGCCCTTCACACTGATATGAATTTGGCAAATACGAAGCCTGTACCATGGGAGAAGGTGTTTCAGCGACAACTTCCTCCTGAGGTGTATGATTTGTGTGGAAAGATCTTTAAATATCTTCCCGATCAACGCATAGCCCCATTGGAGGCCCTTTGTCATCCACTCTTTGATGAGCTACGTGATCCCGCTACGCGGCTTCCGAATGGCAATGAGCTTCCTTCGCATCTGTACCGCTTCTTACCGGAGGAGATTAATGCCATGACAGAGGCACAGAAGGCACACTTATTGCCGAAAAAGTGAAAAAGATAAGTTTGTAGGCGAGTGGGGCAAATGTGTGATAATTTAGTTAGCTTCAAGTGTGAAAGAACAGGAGAGGAGGAACAAAAACAAAAAAAAAAAAGAAGAATGAGGAGGGAAAGTTTGTAGAATGAATGCATAGAGTATATGACAGAAAAAAGAGGGAGAAGAAAAGGAAAAAAAAAATGAGAGTATATATATATATCTGTGTTTCTTTGTATGTTTTTGCATGAAAGAAAGAAGGAATGATATGAAGAGTTGTATGTGTATGTGTGGGTTTGGGTGGGTTTGCAGGGTGGTGATAAAGGAACAGATGATCAGGTAACAAAGAAAAGGGTTGAGGGTTTTTTTTTTTGTTTTTATGGTATCTGGCTTCAACCACACGCTAAAAGAGAAACTCAAGAAAAAAAAAAAGATAATAAAGATAATAGGGGAAGATTTGCACCTACATGATAAAGGAACGACCAGCACGGTGATGGATTAGATGTAATGTGCACATCACTAGCATTCGTTCATTCACGGTGTGCTTTCTATTTATCTTTCTGTATTTGTGTCTCTCTTTTTTTTGAATTTGGGTGGAGTATATAATTATAAAGACTTATATATATATTTAATACTTATACGTGTACGAAAGCAGATGGGAAATAGATTGGTACACCTCTTCACGCACACAGACATGAACAAACAAGCAAGCAAACGAACAAACAAACAAACAGGGGTACACATATACACACTTACACAGGCTTTCACATGGGTTTATATTATGTGAAGAACGTCCTTTCTGTGGTATTTTGCGAAGGTTGGGAGCTGATAATATTCTCATGATGATGTGTTTCCGACTGTATTAGAAGACCTGACTCCATAGTTCCTTTTCTTTTCTTTTTTTTTTCTTTTCTGTTTATCCTAACTACATATCTACTCCTTGTTTTTTTTTTTTTTTTTTTTTTTTTTTTTACTGCTGTTGATGCCTTTTCATCAATTAAATAGCTTCGTGTGCGGTATGCTCACATAATGAGCCATTTTTTTTTTTATTTATGTGTGTGCGAGAGGAAGAGAGCATACAATGAGAGAAGTATTAGATGAAACAGAGTATATGTGTATGTGTGTGTGTTTGATTTTTGTGTGTATATATGTCCTCTTCTGATTTTTTTCTTTTTTCTTTTTTTCTTCATTCTTCTGCGACCACTATACTGTGGGTTTGCAACGGCGAAAAAAAGAAAACATTTCTCTTAACTTCGCTGGTTTTTTTTTTTTTTTTTTT